TCATTATCTACTGCTTGATCATGCTCTTCACTGGTATTGGAGCAAACATCTTCGTCACTTACTCCACAACAAACTACCGGTCAATCAGGTTTGACAGATGGGGCCTGATCCTCACTAGGAACCTCTCCATATCGGACGGTCTGTACACTATATTTGTCATCTTCCCCGTCCTTATCAACAACCTTGGCAAAAGATGGGTGTTTGGGATCGTGTCTTGCCACATGGCGGCTGGATTCAGGATCATACTGATGCTGGCGAGCACCAACTTCTTGACTGGAGTATCCCTTCACCGTCTGTTGCAAGGTCTGAACCCACTGAGAGACTATATCACCTTGACAAGGAACAGTGTGGGTGTGTCCCTAATGGTGTGGATCTACTCTAGTCTGGTTTCTATACGGCTATTTTCTTATGAAACATTTCCAGTTGAGTTTGACTCAGAGATTGCGTACTGCACCTTTCATGGTTACAGAAGAAGCTGTGAGAACTTTATATTTACAACTGTAATGCTGACAATACCCTTTTGCATCATCATAGTATCTCATCTAGTCCTGTACTACATTTCAAAGAAACAACTGGACCGCAGTAAAAGGATACGCAAACAATCGATGAAAGCACCAGCACTGGCGCTGGCGGGAAGATTGAGAGAGCGGCGGAGCATTAGACGAACTGTGACGACATTAGGGTCACTGGCTGCTCTAGTGGTGGTCTCTTGGTTACCTAACATCCTGCAACACCTGCTACCCTTATATGGTAACAAATGGAGACATTTCCGGAGGGCTGTGATGTACCTCTATTTCTTAAACACAGCAGGCAATCCCATACTGTACACTTTGGTGAATAGGGACTTCAAGAATTACGCTAAAAGACAAATAGTATCATTTATTAGTAAGGATTATACAGAAGGTAATCGTAGGAATAGAACTTACACAGCAAGACTTTCTCCGCTGAGTGCGGGTAGTTCATCTTATGCTAGGCCTGTTAAATCTGCTGCTTTGTAATTTGCTGCTGACTCCTGAAAATTTTAGACTTTAGGAATATTTTCAATCAAGTTTGTGTTATAAACCAACAAATTGGTTTATAATTAGGTATATTGCATAATACTGGATGTCCGATATTCTATGTACGAAATCTCTAATAAAATTGTAAAATCAATGTTTTATAATTATAACTTAGACCATGATTCAATGAATAAACTTAGATTTAAAATTGTTACTACATATCAATTCAAAAGTAGCTTTAATGACATCATAACATACTTATTTAAAAGAGCCTGTTTCACACAAAATTACCTATTTTTCTAACTTAGTATTTACCTCTGAATATAATTAAACACAACCATAAAATCCCAAGGTAAATTGCAACACATACTTACCTACCACTCGCACTCCAACATACTTTTGCAATCAACCAAATGGCTAAGCTTCTTTCTGGGATTATTTCTGATTCCTTTTCTATCGAGGACTGTCTCCATCATTTGTCATCAATTCTTCGTTCTACAAACACTCCTTAACAATTTTTCTGACCACCATCTTCTAAACTGTAAGACAATTTCTGTTCCTTCATCATTAAAAGTGTGCGTTATTTATTTTAATGAAACTTATCTTTAAAACGAAATGTACTCACAAGGAGGGAAAATTGTGGCACTGGGTCGTGGATAGATTTTTTTTGTAAGAAGTTTATTGCAGCAAAACCCTTATATACTGCAGAATTTGTGATAAGGGAATCAGTCATGATAAATCAAGTTTCCAGTAAATAGGAGTTTTGATTGTTTACATGTGGTGTTAAGCCCTCATTTGGGTTTGCAGTAAATCAGGGTTTGCAGCTTATACAGTTTGCAGTAAATCAAGGCACAGTAAATTGGAATTGTGTGGAAAATTCTTTAAAATCCAATAGTTGAAGGTATGTACTTAAAACTTTACGCCCACTTTTCCAGCTGATAAAAACTATTTTTGGCACAAAAAAGTTTGAACACTAAATATTTGTCCAAAAAATATTAACAAATGTGCTCAATTTAGATCAGTTAAACAAGAATTGGAAAGCAGTGACACTGCTGCATGACAACAATTATGTTTTCCCTTACAGTGTAGAGTAGAAATGTGCAAACTGTTACACAATATTTGGTAACTCCAACTGATGACAGTTTATTAGAGCATTTTACGTGCTCTAAAAAGTTGTTCATGGACATTCCAAATATGGGCTGATTTTGACTGGGACTAAGCCGGGTTTCTGGCAAAGCTTTGTCTCTAGCCTTCAACCTCATATCTGGCCTGGGATAGATAACTAACAGGACAGACATTGAATTATTTTAATCATGTATAAAACTTTGTGTTGATGTGACAAAAAAGGGGAACCCCCAACCCATGTAACTGATACACCTCACAGCAAGTAGACCAAAGTTTCTCTTATTTGTAAATTGTGCATTATCTACCTGCCCTTAATGGTGGGTTGGGAGCAGTGTTGTAACAAAGGGCACCGCTGAAGGGGGCGCCATCTTAGGGGGGCGCCATCTAAGGGGGCACCATCTTGGGGGGGCGCCATCTTAGGGGGGCGCCATCTTAGGGGGGCGCCAAATCGTTGTTTGAATGTGGGACAATTTTGAAAAACTTTAACTGAGGTACTTATCAAAACTACACGTTTTGCTTGAGAAACACATTTTTTTAGACATTTTACCGGCGTATTTTCTAAAATCATCTAAATTTTAGCAAGGGGTGTCAACAGGGGAGGGGGCGCCAACAGGGGAGGGGGGCGCCATCAGCAGTGGCGTAACAAAGGGCCCCGCTGACCCCGCTGTGGGGGGTGCAATCTTAGGGGGGCGCCAAATCGTCATTTAAATGTGGGACAATTTCGAAAAACTTAACTACAGTACTTCATATTGGCCCCTTTTGCACCCATAGCACCACCTATGCTGTGTCTTGAGGTTCAGTTTTTTAAAGAACTTTCTACATTCCTTCGATATACCTCCTGTTGTGGAGAAGAATAATGGTTTAACGTTTTCAAGATCAATCTCGTGTAACCCATGATTGTAAGAGCGCTTCTAATAATTTCCATGATGGTTACACATTGTCTGGAGTGGTTTGTTCTCGTTGGACATAACTCCTGGGTGTGATACCCTTACGTTAACAAATAATTAGTACAGTGGGGATCGAAAACCTCTAGCACGAATGGCAAACTTGGCTCCATCTTTCAGGTTTGTATTTGATGGGAGCGATATGCTTCCAATACAACTGGAGGAGCTTCCAATCCAACTGGAGGCTGAGTTCAGTTTCGACATCACAAAACACAGCCCATGCATTACTCTAAGGGGTATCCCTGACTCAGCACCTTACAAGACGTATTGTTTAGACCAATTACGCCGGTGGAGCTGATTGAGGGATCCCCTTGGCTTTTTAGTGAAACAAGAAATTGTTAAAAATCTCATTGATACATAAACGTTGCAAACGCGTGTTTGTCCATTTTAGCCGAAAGATTAACAATCCTTTTAGGTTTACGTTTTCTCACAGTATTCCTTTTGATTTAGGGGTATGCTGTAAGTTATTGCGGTATAAACGATGTTCATTTTACTGTCAAGATATGCCAAATTTGTAGCGCTCGATTTTCCCAGAAAGGTGAACGATCGGAAAAATATGCGCGGCGCTTTTCACATTTAACTATAGCTACACTTTACTTAATGATATTAATGATACAAATTTTAATTGTATTTTTTTTATCTCACACTTATTTTACTTCGAAGTATTCCAACAGCCACATTGTTACACAAGTGTAACTAGCCAATTACAGGAAGCCGAAGGATTTAATTAGGCCAGTGACGGTTAAGGTAGTGTGTACCATACTTTCTTCGCCCGAGACTTCGCTGCAATGGATAGCTTCTCATTTAACCCTCACACACGATTTCTCGAGTATTCGGCTGAGTAGACAGGGGGGCTGCATAGACCACTCAGGATCGACTCAAATTATTTGTTATATAGTAGTGTTGAAAGTATTAAAACTTAAAAAAAGTCCAGGCAATTTTGCAGTCGGCACTCGACGCTGACAAAACGTTTTTAAAGATTTAACTATATATTAAAATAGCTTTACATCAAAATAAATTGTGAAAGATATTGATTTTTTTAATTGGAAATTTATTTAATAAAAGTTCGAAAACTTTGAATAATTTCAAAAAACGTGCGCGTCTTTTAATTTGTTTACCACCAATAACAGATAACGACACTCACCCCACGACTAGGCAGGCAGTGGGTTTCGAACTCGCAATCTCACGATTACAAATCCGATGATTAACCAACTACGCTACCTGGCCGTTATTTAATTGTTCAATTATGTATTAATGATTGGATTTTTATTGTGGAAATTATAATATAAACTAATTTTAAATATTACAAATATGTTTTATTTGATTTACTATTTCATATTTATTTGGTGGAAGATGCTAGGACACATACTGAGGAGCGCTGAAAGATCACCAGCTCAAGCTGCGCTGTGCTTTGCTGTCGAGATGTGTAGTGAAGTTGGTAGACTCGGGGCTCACAGACGTAACCTCCTACACCACCTGAAGGTTGACCTTTGGAAGCGTTTCATCTTGCTGGAGTCGTATGATGATATTCTTCATTTGAGAGAACTTGCTAGTAACCGTGGTTATTGGAGTAAATTGTTCGACTTTATACTTGAGTACAAGTCAATTTGACTTTTGGGACATATAATCTTACAAAGGATTACGTTTAGGTTCTAAATTATTTTAGGATTGTTGACATTTGTAAGATTGACATGTTTGATGATAATATTTATCTGTTATTGGTGGTAAACAAATTAAAAGACGCGCACGTTTTTTGAAATTATTCAAAGTTTTCGAACTTTTATTAAATAAATTTCCAATTAAAAAAATCAATATCTTTCACAATTTATTTTGATGTAAAGCTATTTTAATATATAGTTAAATCTTTAAAAACGTTTTGTCAGCGTCGAGTGCCGACTGCAAAATTGCCTGGACTTTTTTTAAGTTTTAATACTTTCAACACTACTATATAACAAATAATTTGAGTTCAGGGATAGCATGTATTAAGGCCCCCCAGGGGGAGACGTAAGTTTTCGTTGTTTTGTTGGCTGTGAAAGCTCTTACTGCATTACCGCTGCACACTTGTGTTTATTTTAGATCATAGATATAGCTGATTTCTACTATGTCTGGTATTGCTAAGAGGCAAGGGAGAAACAAAGCCCTCTCCGCCAGTTCCAGTTCCAGTTCTACACCAGCTCAACATAAAACAAAAACTGCTAAGAAGCACACATCATCATCCCTATCAGAGTTAGATGCTTCTTCAATAGCGCCCCAGCTGGACCTTACACCACACATTGCAATGCCAGCCATCCAGCACTCCCACAGAGATAAGGGGAAATGTCCCTGCGACCAGTCACTGGAATCATCGTGGAAACTAGACTGTGCCAAGTGTGGACAGTATTGGCATGCGAACTGCATAGGTCTTAATGGACTAAATAGTAAGATGCTCAATGATCTCACACAATGGCCCTGTCCCTTTTGTTTTGTATCACCTATTGCTACTATTGTTAGAATCTTAATTCTATTTGTAGCTTGTTTTTGTACTTACTTATTACTAACCCTGTATCTCACTTTAGCAAAGGTTTAGTTCCAGTGAATTTTTTTTTTATCTAGACACTTATTTTACTTCGGTGTATTCCAACAGCCACAATGTTACACAAGTGCAACCAGCCAATTACAGGAAGCCGAAGGATCTTTTTGGCCAGTGACGGTTAAGGTAGTGTGTACCATACTTTCTTCGTCCGAGACTTTGCTGCAATGTGCAGCTCCTCATTTAACCCTCACACTCGATTTCTCGAGTATTCGGCTGAGTAGACCGGGGGGCTGCATAGACCACTCATGATCCTTAGCTGAACGTCGACGACGCTCACCCCACGACCAGGCAGTCAGTGGGTTTCGAACTCGCAACCTAACGATTGTAAGACAGGCGTTCTAACCAACTGCGCTACCTGGCCGTAAAATGTATATACAGTGTTGGGGTAAAGGGACTCCAGAAGGCAGACAAGGCTCGACTCCAGACTCTAGTTGAAGTAACAGAAGAGAGAGGAGTGTCCAGTGTTTAGTTGACTCCAGACTCTAGCGAAGCAGAAGGGAGAGGAGTGACGTTGTCGACTCCAGACTCTAGCGTAGCAGAAGGGAGAGGAGTGACGTTGTTTTAGTGATCCCACAGATTCCAGTCGACAGATACTATCTGTGTTCTGTGACGTGGAAAGAGTGGTAAGTAGTTTATAGTTATAGTTTAGTAGTTTAGTCTAGGAGTTCCCGCTTCCTCTTTCACTTTCATTTATAGTTTCACGTGGATTACCTTTCACTTTACTCACGGTAGTTTTCCCCCAGGGTTTTGTTTTATAGTTATCAGTTCCAGTTTTACTTGAAGTCCTCATCATTCAGAAGTCCCTCATATAGTAAGAAGAACATCATCATCAGGAGTAGTAGTTTTAATTTAATAGTAGTTTAATCTAATAGTAAAAAAGACATTGTTTAGTTTAGTATTGAAATGTGTTTTAACTATTAGTCAGAGCAGAGTAGTGTGAGTTACTGAGTCACACCATATCAATCATTCACTATTTAAGAGAGTACATTGTAGAGTAACAAGGTTACTTTTGACACAAGATTTGTATAACCTCTTTATTCATCTAATTTGTATTTATAATAATTGAGTATTATTTGTTATTTAATTAACCCAAGAACAGGGTTCCAACAGTGGTAGCAGGAAGAACTACGTTACACCGGACCGTATTTATTTTTTGTATATTTTAACTAACACTTAACACCTAACACTAGATTTCAGTTTTCATCATGGGAGGTGATAGAGTACCTACTCTTGATGAGAAGTCCAACTATACAGATTGGAAACGGAGAGTTCAGTGGTGGAAGAAGGTGACCACCGTCAAGCCTGAGGCAGGAGCAGCTGCATTAATCATGAATATGTCTGGAAAACCAGAAGCTGTGGCTATACAGCTAGACGTAGACAAGTTATCCGTAGTTGGAGGAATAGATGTTCTCATTGCCGAGCTGGATAAGTTATATGAAAAAGACCAGACACAGTCAGTCTTTACATCCATTGACAGCTTCATGAACTACAGAAGACCCAAGGAAGTGCCCATGGAAGAGTATGTGAGAGAATTTAGCCATCGTTACAAGAGCCTTGTGCAGAAGCGTGGTGCTACTGTGGTATTTGAAGATGGAGTACTAGCGTACTTCTTATTACATCATGCTAATCTCTCGGACCATCAAAAGACGTTAATCAGGGCAACGGTCTCTAAGTTAAGCTACGAGAATATGGAATCCCAGCTTAAGAGAGCATACGGAGAAGATTATACTAATACATCTTCTTCTTCATCAAGCGCAAGCGGCGCAAGCTGTGAAACATATTCCATCGGAAAACCAAAGATTAAAGAAGAGCCTGTAAATACTTATTTTCAACAGTACGACATCAACAATTCAGAACATTTTGGTGATGACCAGAACAACCAGGAGGAAGACCCTCAGAAAGTTTTTTATCAACAAAGACACCACCAACACAGGGATTTTTATTCATCTAAGAGACCTTTCGGACAAAGGCCCTTCGGACAAAGACCTGCGTTTCAAGGACAGAGTTCAGGAAACGTGTATCAACAAGCTCCATTTAGATCCAGACAAGGAGCACAAGCCCAACAATCAGGACCCTTACGTTGTCATATTTGTAAGGAAACAGACCATTTGATGAGAGACTGTAAGTACAACACATTTGGAGAGAAGAAGCTTACATTCTTTGAGTCTGACTTTAAACTAAAAGACGAAGACAAGTGTCTGATGGGAGAATCGACAAATAGAGCACTTTTAGATACAGGTGCTAGTTCCACAGTGTGTGGGAAGAAATGGCTGACAGCCTTCGAGGAATCTCTGACATCAGCTGAACATGAAGAGGTCAAAGTGACTCCTTGTGAGAAGAATTTTTGTTTCGGGGATGAAGATGCAGTTACAGCCAGGATACAAAAAGCACTCCCAGTAACAATATGTGGTCAGAAAGTAACTTTAAACGTGTTTATTGTGGAAAATGATATTCCTCTGTTACTGTCTAGAGAGTCCATGAAAAAGATGAAGATGAAGATCGATACTGAAACTGACAAAGTTTATGCTTTCGGAGGAGAAGAGAATCTAGTGATCACTAAGTCAGGACACATGATGATACCCATAGGACGATGTGAAAGTTCTATCAGCCAAACAGATTCTGGAAGAACTAATCATGCAACAGAAATTAAGGTCCGTCCTGTTTTAGAGGAGAAGATTACATCGCCATGGTCACTAAGTGACGATGAAAGTGATCAAGAGGAGGAGTTAGAAACATTCAGTGGAGCTGACAATGAGAGTGTGCAAGACAATGAGCCAGAAATTGAGCCAGATAGTGAGCTAGAGGACCATGGAGTTGTGAGCTCAGTTTCAGGTAATGTGGATCAAGACAGTGAGCCAGAAAGTGAGACAGAAATTGAGACAGAAATTGAGCCAGATGACCATGGAACTGTAAGTTCAGTTTCAGGGAGTGTGAATCTGTCAGATCTGTCAGTGAATCAGTCGGATTGGGAAAGTGTGTGTCAAACCAGAACAGGCGTGGGTGTAAAGAAGAATGACATTATCAGGTTCAGATCCTCGGAGAGGGATGATTGGAATAATGCCTTGGTGATAGGTAGAGCCGGGAAACCTACAGGGAAGAACAAAAATCTTTACAATGTACGACTGGACGAGTCAAACGGTGAACCCGTATCAGTTGAGTTGGATAACTCTGTACAAGTGCAGAGGTTAAAGATTGTTCAGGATGTCTCACGAAGAGAGGTGCAGTTTTCAGCAAGCTCGCTTAAGTCATAGATCAAGGATACTGTGAATATGTCAGAGAGAGTATAACTGTTTTGGACTTTATGTTGTAGAAAGAGATTGAATATTTTTGCTCGGATTATTTGTTGTTTGAAATGTCAATTTGGTTAAACAATAACTTTTTAACGTCATTTGTAATAAACTTTTAACTTTAAATGTGTGTGTATATATTAGTATTGTTAGAATTACCAACTTTGTAACGAGTCATTTTTACATTTTTAACCTTTCAGAGACTTTTAACATGCACGAGGTGTTTGTATTTAACAATCTTTTAAACATTTGTAACTCTTTACACGTATATTAATTTTGTGTTTTTATGTTCTAGAGAAGTTTCTCGAACAGAAGTTTTGGGAAGGATATTTTGACAATTTTTTGTCGTTAGTTCATATTTTTTACTGAGAATGTAGTAAGTTGGGAATGTTTGATGAAAAGTTAGTGAATCCCATTTTTAGGAACCAGTCTATCCTTTCTTTTCTTTTCTCTTAGTCTGGTAACTGAACTTTGGTTGTATTTGCTAAATTTTCAACAATTTTGGGAGAAAGATAGATTAGTTAGCGAATTTAGACGTGTGTACCAGCTTTAGCGCTCCTTTTCTTTGTGTTGTAGCGCACGGTCACATTTGTCAGTTGATTTGCTAAATTTTCTATTACATGGTGTAGAGATAATAAGGATTAATAGATACAATTTAAAGTACATTTTGTACGTGACATGTGTAATAAAATTACCGCTAACAGAATATTTCAGATTCCTACTTCTAAAAATCTAACATTTCAGATTCAAACTTACTTTTCAGAAAGACGATCCTTTCTCAAAGACATCAATGTGTTTACCTGATATTACTTTATTAACTTGCATCTTCTGTAGGAAGTGTTAACAGCTAGGAGCAGCTTGCTCAGCGTGAGTTTTTTGGTTTTATAAGAATGCTGTCGTTTCGATCAACATGCTTTTACATGTTCTTCACTGATCCCGAGCCTTTAGGGACTCAGTTTGAACCTGTTTTTAAACGACAGAATTCATGTATTTTACGTTTTAGAACTGTTTAGTACAGTGGTGTGTGTCAATGATTTGTTAGTGACTCATTATTGACTCTCTAGAGGTTGTGTTTAAAGCTTGAATAGCTCCTAATATTTAGTT